AAATGTTGGCCAAACCATTAATCATCAGAAAGGGTTATGAATCAATCAATCATGCCAGATTTATCAATTAATGAAAATTGTTATTTTTATTACCAAAGTGTTATAAGATCAATTATTTATTTTTATTGATTAACTTTTTTTCACTAAAGGAGATTTCAAACATATTTATACTTTTTTAAAGTATTACAAATCACATGATTTTGTCCAATAAAAAAAAAATAGTGACTAATTGACAATTACTAAAGTTAAATGTCAAAAATGAGTCATTGATGACATTATGATTAAAAGATATCTGATGAAATGTTTTTGTCATATGTTCTACTAACAAGTTATTTCTTTAGTAATCATTCTCTCTTTTATTTATTAGTATTGAATTTTTTTACAATTTTATACAGTATATACATGATTGATTAAATGTGTCAATCATCATTGACCAATCACAGATTCCATTATTTAATGGTAGAGTGTAGTCATGTGATTTTTCATAACAACTGAAAGGATAAATTTTCTACAGTGACGATCATTTTCTTATGTCACATTAAAATAAAATAATTCTAAAACGATCAGGCTTTTAATAAATAATATAAACAATTCCATCCTTTTGATTTAGCTTCAACAACCTTTGAGGCCATAAATAATCAAGCTATATACAAGTTAACAGATAGCAAATGAGATATAGATGTAACACAATCATAAAAAAATTATTTATTATTTTTCAACTTTAATGTTTAATGATAACAATAATAATAAAGTAACAAAGACTAATAAACTAATTATAATAATAATGTAGATGACCCGCCAGTTATAAAATGCAACACTATTAATATCAATACGTATTGCAATCATCCAACAATTCATGATCATGATAGCAGTGGCAATAGTAGTCCCAGTAGCAGTAGCAGTACCATAGCAGTAGCAGTATTGTTGGTAAAAATAGTAATATTGGGAATAGTAATAATAACAATAAAAACAATAGGAACATTAATTAATAATAATAATAATAATACAAACATCAACAACAACAAAAAAACAACAACGATGAGGAAATGCAAAATTTCATAAAAATGATCACATTCAGCAAAAGCAAACAAGTGTCATTGCATAAAATTTTTTTTCCTAGTAACAAACAATCATTTGTCACCATCATACAAAATTGTAAAAGAAAATTTAATGAAGAACCACCATCACCTTATAACCTTTATTACAGCTCACCAACAATTACCACTTACACTCCCACAACTAGTACATTAATTTCTGCAAAAGATATCTATATCACAAAGGTCATAAACCAAACGAGTGCCCTAATATCCTTACAAAGTATGTCAGCAAATGTTTTTATTGTTTAAGTTCCAACCACTACGCAAGTAGTTGCACGAGTATGGAAAAAGGTAAAATGATTTACATTTTCAAGGATGGTAATGTTCCTCCAGACTCTCTTTTAAATTTATTTATTTTAAAAAAAAATTATTTATACCCCACAGGACTTCATTTTGTGAAAAATACCAAACAGGGAATTAATTGACATTACCCACCGGGAGAAAAGACGTTTTTTTATTTATTTGTTTATTTTTTTTAAAAAACCCCGTTTTTTATTTATTTATTTATCTGTTATTTATTTATTTATCTGTCATTTTTTTAAAAAACTCCGTTTTTTTATTTATTTATTTATTTAAAAAAAAATCACTTTTTTTTTATTTAATTTTTAATTTGTTTAAAATTTGTTATTTATATATGGCTTGAGGGTTAGATGGTGGTCTGAGACGTTGTCTAGGGGCCATTTGGCGGCGTTGAGCCATCATATAAATATGAATTTTTTTTTTAATTTTTTAAAATTTGTTATTTATATATGGCTTGAGGGTCAGATGGTGATGCTGAGACGTTGTCTAGGGGCCATTTGGCGGCGTTGAGCCATCATATAAATATATGAATTTTTTTTTTAATTTTCTTAATTTAAAAAAATAAAGATTTTTTTGCCTTAATATTGTTAATATGGTTACTGGAATTAGAAATTGATAATAATAATCTTTTAGGCGAAACATATAATTACTGATCCACATAACTATAAATTAAATTTATCAAAGAAAATTTAGATATTAATTAATCAGCTTCATGAGTTTGTTTCCTTTTGCGTCATATGAAAATTCCAATCTAGCAACAAACATGTATGTACGTAAACAATTGAAGACTGATCGGCAAAAAAACGCGGTTTTTAATCTTTTTGTATAAATACAGAGGGTGATCATGGGAGCATAACGGAATTTCTAAATGTCGATCATTTTCCAAAAATTGTTACACGGTTATTTATATTATTTTACAATAGTCG